GGATTAACTAACTCACAGGTGAACATATATTAATTCTGCACTAATGAAAGCTTTCAATGAACTTTTTACCCATATGGGAATTAATCTTCATTTTTTGTTTGTTTTTGGCTAAGGATACTAATCCTTTCAAAGACCAGCTTTTAAAAATCTTTGATCTTTATTGGAAAACATATTTTTATTTATTTAAAGAGTATAGGTGATAATGTCCAACCTTTCAATCTTTTCAAAGGTTCTACTCCCTTGTTTTATTTTAAGTTTGTAAATACTGTGCATACAACTTTTTTCAAAATGGAATATAAATGTGCTTCTTAACGTACATGGAAATATTATTACGCAACCTTTTGTGGAAAGTTTTTCTTCCTTGCCCCTTGTTTTGATTTTTTAATTATAATTTTGATCAGGTGCAGCGCAAGATGCATGTCATTTTTCTTAGCAGGCAAGAAAAAAGCATACTGTTGAACTTCTGTTAAAATGGGTGGTACCAGTGTGCTTAACAACTGCAGAAGATAAGCCTTGCTTGCATTTATTAAGTAACTGTGGATGAAAGGTAGATGTGTCTGTGGGTGATGTTACCATAGTAATGGGTTTGATCAGCAAACTGTTGAGTTCTGATACTATTGCTTACAGGAATGCTATTAAAATGCAACATCTTTGAAAACACACAGTACAGCATTGTGTCTGATAGTGTTGCAGAAGCAAGCTGCTACGTTTAAGCAATGATGCAATATGAGTGGTTTGTTGCATGTTCTGCAGTAGTAAGAGAGCTTGGAGGAAAATAAGATTAGAGCTATCTCAAAACTGAAAGCTTCTTGTGAGGAAGCAGTGGGTAGGCAGGAGGAGAAGCCTGGCTAGAGAAAGGGAAACAAAAGTTGCCACAGGTGTAAGATATGAAAACAGCGTTACATTCTGGAAAGCCTTGAATGGCTGTGGATGTACTTCAGAAGATCTGAGAATGGAAACATTGAAAGTAGGATCTCTGTCTGTGGTCTACAGGGAATTAATATTTAGATGACTTTAAACCAATAACATACGGGATAGAGATCTAACTCCTGTTACAGTGTTTATGCATCATGCTGATAGTAAATGTTTTAACCATCTATGTAAAAACAGCAAGGACGATAAAAAATAACCTTAAACTGCAAAATAATATACAGCTTTGATTCTGGTTTATTTGTAGATGGTTCCTGATGTTGCAATTCTATTCAAATTTACCTGTAATCATTTCCTTATAAGGGAATATATCCCCTAATCATTTTGGTAGTTTTCTACTTATTTCTGTAATAACAACTATGTAAATTATTCCATGCACACTTGTATTGCAGTTTTACTTTCATCAGTTTTACTTCTATTTTCTTCCAGATAATTCCCAGCATAGATGTTCCTTTTTTTTCCCCATAGCAACTGCACACTAGGCTGACATTTTTATAGATATATTTTCATTAGGCTCCCAGCACTGCTTTCCTGATCAGTAACTCCAGCTCTGCTAATGAATACACGAGCTTGCATTTCAAGCCAAAGCTTACACTGAACTGCCTTTGCTATTTTATGGTCTATTCACCCATTTATAAATACGTTTTTGGATCTGTCCACAATCCCTTTTTGATCTTATCGACTTGAGCAATTTGGAATTATCAGCAAACTTGCCACGTCATTGCTCATCTCTTATTTCCAGGTTGTTTATAAATGATCTTAAAAGACTGATCCATGTACCCCCCTTATACAACCCTCCTTTGTGAAAACTGTGTATTTATTCCTAATCTCTGCTTCCTGTTCTTTAATGATCACATATCCATGAAATCACTTGTCCCTTTATGACATGGCTTCTAAGTTTGCCCTGGAGTTTTGTTGGAGACATTAAAGTACTAACATCTACCAAATCACCTTTGTTTCCATGCTTGTTTACATACATACATACATACATACATACATACATACACATACTGTTTTCTAATTTTCTTCCCTCCATTTTACTCATATTGGTCTATATGAAACCAACTGGCCTATAATTTCCTGAATCTACCCCCTCTCTTTTTAAAATTTGGAATTACATTCTGATTCTATAAGATATTTGGCTAAGGACCATACTTTCAATAATTATTTCCATCTCCAAATGCTGTAAGAGCCACAGTGATGATACAGTGATTCATTGAGTGGAACAGTTGTTTTACCCAGAGGTTTATCCCACCTATTCTGGGTGTAAAATTAATGCTGCCCAGTTCTAATGGTATTATCTTCAGTGGCTCTAGGAGTTGCAGAGATGTATTGGGCGGAAAAAAACCCTGCTGCTAGTCTACGGCCTGGCAAACCAGGCTGAGCCCTGATATTGGGAGGAAGTGAAGGAGCCAACAGGAAGTGCTTTGGGGATTTTATTAATTGTCATGCAATGTATGTTTTGAATAATGAAGGAAGCTGCTCCACTATTTGTGGTTTGAATATGTGAGTATTCCTAACATAGGAACAGCTTATTTAAATAAGAAGCATTTCAAAGGAACCCATTTCTTAGAAAAACTTCAAAGGATTCTGCTTTTCCTCACCTACTTCCTTCTTAAAATTCTGAGAATTTGGGAAACTCACTAAGAAGAAGGGAAGTAGTCTTCCTTTTTTATGAACTGTGGAATCCTTATCATACAAACATTGGCCTTTGCAGAAGGACAAATTTCCCCCTTTTCCTTTGTCTGCTGTTGCTAGAATAAAAGCTGAAAGGTTGCTGTTTGTTTTTATTGCTCCAGATGCAGCAATATTGAGCTGTTTCAACTCATAATCCACAAATTGTACTTCCTAAAGCAGTGGTTCCCAACCTTTTCTATGCCCCACACCCCTATGAAATGTTTGATTAATGTTCGCACGCCCTACAAAGTAATATTGGAAGATGAAGAAGTCTAAATTCTAATGTGGGTGAATAAATTGAAATTTAAAAAATAAGCGCTTAATTCAGTGCATAAAATAGTTGCACCCCCTGAAATTCCATCTTGCACCCCCTGGGAGTGCGGGCACTCCAGGTTGGGAACCCCTTTCTAAAGGAAGTACTAAGGCTCAAAATTGAAAGTCTAGTCTCATCGTTTCCAACTATTTATGTCTATTTTTTAAAGGCTACTGGAAGAAATACTGAATTATTAATTACACACATACTTCCATATTAAGCACCTTTTTGTTCAGCTTGAGGATCAAAAGGCTATGTAGATCATTGAAACACCATATTAATAGTGTTAACAGTTGCTTTCTGAAAGCAAGGAAGCATAGGATGTGAATATTCTGAATTGTGCAGTAAAATCAGATATAATATGTACACGACAGTCTGACTGCATCAAGGTAATATTCCCGCTTGTTCTTCCCACTCAGTCTTCCAGAATTCTTTTGACTGATTTACAGTACTGTGCAAAAATTTTAGGCAGGTGTGAAAAAATGCTGTAAAATAAGAATGCTTTCAAAAATATATATTGTAATTGTTTATGTTTATCAATTTACAGAATCCAAAGTGAGT